TCTTCCTCTACTTGGCATGCAGAAGGTCCCAGGCCTGGGTAGTGCCCAGGCTCAATCACCGGCATCTCCAGTTGAAAGGACCAGGCGGTAGATGACATGAAAGACCTCAGCCTGAGACCCTGGAGGGTCGCTGCCAGTCTGATTCGGGGCTGTGGCTCAGTGGGAGAGCTTCTGCTTGGCATGCGAAAGATGCCAGGTTCAATCCCCGGCACCACCCGTTAAACAGATTAAGCAGGATGTGATGTGAAAGACCTCTCTGCCTGAGACCCCAGACAGCCACTGCCGGTCTGAGTAGACAATCCTGACTTTGATGGACCAACCGTCTGACTCAGGAGAGGCGTCTTCCTGAGCAGCCAGGTATCTATGAGTCAGCAGACACAAAAGACTCCCCGAGTTGGAAAACAGATGGATCCGTTCATGGGCAGGGCAGGTTCCAAGCATTTGTACCAGGTCCCGCCAATGGAGAGACTCGATAGCACCTGACCATAGCAGGGCCCAATCTTGTATACCCCATGACCATTTGATAACTGAAAGGGGCTCAGAGCATCCAAAGTAGCTCTCTAGAGCCAGTGTGGTGTAGTGGTTAAGTGTGCGGACTCTAAACTGGGAGAACCAGGTTTGCTTCCCCACTTCTCCACATGCAGCTGCTGGTGCGACCTTGGGCAAGCCATAGTTCTGACAAGAGCTGTCCTTGAAAAAGAGCAGTTTCTGTCAGAGCTCTCTCAGCCCCACCTACCTCACCTGTGGGAAGGGGAAGGAGATTGTAAGCCGCTCTGAGATTCCTGAGTGAAGGGCGGGGTATAAATGCAATCTCCTCCTCTACAGAACAGGACTGCTTCCAAAACACAAAAAGATCAGTCCCCCATTCTGCTTCCACTGGGTTGTACCAGGAAGCCCCACAAACCAGGCATAAAGGAATCACGCATGAAAGCAACTCGATGTGTTGAGATAGACTGCCCCTGAACATGGATGTTCTACCTTAGCCAGGGTAGCTGGTGGTAGTGGAAAATCCCATCAAGTTGCAGCAGATCTTATGGTGACCCTGTAGGGTTTTCAGGGCAAGAGATGGGACAGAAGTGGTTTGCCACTGCCTGCCTCTGCATCAGGACCCTTGATTTCCTTGGGGGGGGGGGGGTCTCCCATCCAAGCACTAACCAGGGCTGACTCTGCTTAGCTTCAGAGACCTACGAAGCTCCCTAAACTCGCCTCCTCCCCTTATAAAGCCATCTCCATTCATGACCATCTTGTGGCAGAGAGTTCCATAAGTTAACTAGGCATCATGTATATTTTATTGGTCCTTTTTAACTCAAGATGCTGGGGATTGAACCTGGGACCTTCTGCGAGCAAAGCGGAACCTCTGCCACTGAGTATATTTTATTTTATTTTTGTCAGTAAACACGAGCTAGTTGAACTTAAATTCTTTCATTTATATAAGATAGTTTGCTAACGCAACTGTATTATTAGAAAACATGCTAAGAGTCTGAAATAGTTAAGTTTTAAGTAGAAATAATAAGGCTGTGGTCACACACACTAAATAATCCACTTTCGATGCACATTCCAACTGGATTTTGTCAGTTCACACAGTAAAAATCCAGTTTGGAAGTGGATGATTAAGTGTGTGTGAGCGCAAGCCTAAGAATATTATTAATGTTACAAAGTTTGTACTGTTTGGGATTCTGCGATTGTATTAATTGTTTTATATTTGTTCAGGAATTTTAAAAAATGGGGGGAAACCCCTCTAGGCATTGTGTACAGGCATTGTGTTTACTTTGGTCTTTCCTGAATCGACTACCGATCAATTCAGCTGGGCCACTCCAAGTTCTGGAGTTGTGAGAGGAGAGGAAATCTTTTCCCCTGCACCCACTATCCCCTAAACTGTGGATTTTATCAGCTTGACGCCTTTCGCTGCCCCTCAGCAAAACCCCCGGAACGTTCTAGCATTTCCTCAGGCAGAAGGTTCTCCAACCCCTCGACCCTTTCAGCTCTCCTCTGCCACTCCTTCCCGGCCCTCAGCCCCGACGCAGGAAGGAGCCAATTCCAGCCCCACAAAAGCACACACCAAAACAAGGGCCTAACCTCAAACCAACTTTTGACACACCGACCACAGAAGCCGACAGTGAGGTTGCGCTGAGTAACAAGAATCGTCTGGCAAGACGACCACTTCCCCACACACACACACACGCCCCACCCAGCTGTGAACACAACGGCAAAGACAGACAAGTCCGCACAACAAGACAAATCGTTCCCGTGGCTGGTTCCCATGCTGGAAGCTCCCATGATGCATCACAGTCTGGAACGTTCCACACCACCACAAATCCATTAAGAAGGTTCTTGTACCAGTTTGGCATAGTGGTTAGGAACGCAGACTCTGATCTGTGGGAATCGGGTTTGATTCCCCACTCCTTCTCCACATGAAGCCAGTTGGGTGACCTTCGGTCAGTCACAGTTCTCTCAGAGCCGTTCTCTAAAGGGCAGTGTCTGTCAGAGCTCTCTCAGCCCTGCCTACCTCACAGGGTGTCTATTGTGGGGAGGGGAAGGGAAAGAAGATTGTAAGCCGCTCTGAGACTCCAAGTGAAGGGTGCGGTATTAACCCAATCTCCTCTCCTTCTGCCTTTGGGTAACAAAAGCGCATGGCAGAGCATTGGTGTGCAAGAGATCCCATTGCTCCTTTCACAATCCCTCCTCAGGACGCAACTTTTCTGTACAGCCTTGGGCATGGGGTTGCCAACCTCCTGGTAAACCCTGGAGATCTCCCGTAATTACAACAGATTTCCGGGCTACTGAGATTGGTCCCCCTGGAGAAAATGGCGGCATCTGAAGGTGGATTCTGTGGCATTGTTTTTTGTGGACCCCTGTCTTTGGGGAGATTTAAAATGGGTACTGACAGTGCCTCTGAGTGTTTTGTAAGTTCCTTGTGAACCACCCCCTTCCCAAGGAACCGCGGCCCTGTCACCTTTATGTCTGGGTTGCCAGCCTCCAGGTGGGGCCTGGAGATCTCCTGGAATCACAACTGACCTCCAAATGACAAAGATAAGTTCCCCAGGAGGAAATGGCTGCTTGGAGGGCGGGCTTTATATTATCGTACCCTTCCCCAAGCCCTGCCCTCCAATCTCCAGGAATTTCCCAACCCAGAGTTGGCAACCGTACTTGGGTACCACGAGAGATGGCTTTAGGGACATTTGAGCAGGAAGCATTCCAGAGGACCCCACCACTAAATGAGCTTCCCTCACCATGCAGGCCCACACCTTCCCAAAGGAGGGAGCGGCGTGCCACCCTTTCACAAGAACGTGACGTAAGAACGTGAGAGAAGCCAATGTCGGATCAGGCCAATGGCCCATCCAGTCCAACACTCTTGTGTCACACGGTGGCCAAAAAACACCAGGGGCCATCGGGAGGTCCAGCAGTGGGGCCAGGACACTAGAAGCCCTCCCACTGTTGCCCCCCCCCCAAGCACCAAACACTTTTTTCAGCCCCGAGGGTGCCAGCAATGCTAAAGAGTGGTGCTCTGTGGCCTACAGTTGCTTCTCCCAATTCTTTAAATCTGGAGTCTTCCTACTGAACTAGACCTTGGTATGCAAAAGCATGCAATCCCTTGTACCCTTCTGGCCTCTTCTGTCTCATAGCTTATTTCCCCAATACCAAGACAGGCCACTTGTGGTAGGTTTCCCAGACCCAACTCACTTTACCTGCAGCCACACTTTGGTGTGAGGGTCAAGGGGCTTCCACATCCCCCCGCCCATACACAATTTCCCCAAGCTGAACTGGTCCTGAGTTTGTTATTTTGCAAATGTTTATATTATTGTTGTTTATATTATTTTGCAAATGCATGTGCTTGGTGCCAGGCTGTTACATCGCCAGAAAACAAACCAACAGGGTTGCCAGGAGCCCCCCCCCCCCCCCCCCCGCTCTTCATCCTGTGTGGAAAACTAATTCTTAAGTGTGGTAACCGTACAGCAGCGAAACAAAGTTTAAGTCCAGTGTCGGCTGCCAGTCAGGTATCTGAAGTGGGCATGCACCTGAAAGCTTAGAATATAACTTTGCTGGTCTTCAAGGCGTCGCTGGACTCAAAACTTTATTCCAAGTGTGCGCAACTGAACCAAGCGCTCATTCATCGGACGAAGCCAGCTTTGATGCTCCAACGCTTACACCTGGAAATCTTGTTGGTTTTTAAGGCGCTACTGGAGTCGAACCTTGCTCTTCGACTGCACACCGACACAGCTTCCCGCCAGAAACCCTCGTCCTGAAACACTGGACCTTTGCCTCCGCCTTTCTCCCCTCCTTCTGTGGCCTTCAGTCGATTACATTTTATACTTTAAACTTTGTAGGCCCTGACCTACAGAGCCGAGGCTACCCCGGTCTCATCTGATCTCAGGAACTAAGGAGGGCAGATTTTAAGGGCAGATGAAATGAATGGAAAGACAATTCTGCGCCCAGCTCAAAAGCTTTTGCTATCTGCTCCGGCCCGTATCCATTAGACCCCGCCCCTGAGCTGTGAATGGACCCACCACATTGCAGACCCTGCCCCCTGTTCCACTCACCACCCCTGGCCCACTAAGCACCACCCTTTGGCTTCTTGGCTCCACCCAGGGGTCGTTTCGAAGAAAAAGAGCTAGGGGAACTCATTAGCATAACTCATTAGCATATGCCACACCCCCTGACATCACCGGAAGTGTGTCATAAGGCCACACACCCCGCCCCCAACGGTCCCGGCCGGCGGGAGTGCAAGGAAGCCCCGCGAAGGCCCTCCCTGGCCCCAGGCAGGCAGGGGTGGGGAGAGGCAGGGAGGAAGCAACTGGCCGGAAGCGGGGCGGCCGGAAGCAGGGGGCGGGGCTTCGTCATGTGCCACGCCCCCCGTACCTCACCTGGGGGAACTGCGATCCCCCCCCAAATGACCTCTGGCTCCACCCCCGAGCCTCAGGAAAACTGGACCCGCTACCAGATACCACAGAAACGCCTGCAAGCCACAGATGGTTAACACAGCGTCGTTAAGTTTTGGAGTCATTTATTCTGTATAAAAATTTCAGTAGTAGGACGAGATTTACATAGAGATGCTGCCCTCCGCTCCTACCCTCTCTCCTCAAAAAAAAGAAGTTTGTTTCGCCATTAGTTCGTCCACTGTCCCCGTTACGAAACGTCGCGGAATGTCCTCGCGGTCCATCGCCTCTCGCCGTCTTCCTCAACCTTCCCCAAACTTTTAAAATCCTGTGAGAAGTGGCAGGGCGAGACAGGAAGTCGCACGCCCCGGCATTGAAACTAGATCGGAACAGAGAGGGTGGGCCACAAAACTGGGGGGCTTCCGATCTGGATTTTGTGCAGTTTCTAAATGATTAAAGAAGTTATTCGCCGAAACGGAACCTCCGTCCGCAGAGCCAGTTTATCCCGAAATACAAGATGCTGGGAACCAATCACAGGGGAGGCCCCGTAGTCCGATCCAATAGGGTTTTCTCACATGTGACACTAGCAGGGTTCCGCTTTGCTCTTTTGGGGTACAGGACAATGTTTGTTTGCATCGTAAGCGGGGAGAAGAAGGGTTCATCAGGAAGGTGTAAGAGAGGAGCTCCTCCGAAATTCAGGCCCAGCCTGTTTATTGTCTTATAAATTATCCGCCCTGTACAGAGTTCACGACGGGCAGCAGGTAGATTCAGTATCACGGTGGGCCTAGCGCCATCTCCGAGTCCACAGATTCCAACAGCATGGCGCGTCCCACAGCACACGCGTATCACTCCGAGTGTCCCCGCCTGCGGGATACTCAGTGAAGTGTCCTTCGGGGCAGGGGAAGCCGAGTCTGAAGGGGCCCATCCCTCGTGCCCCGTTCCTCACCACGGAGGAGACTAGTACCCAATTCCCCTAGGTAGTCCACACCTGGTTGTCCATCCGCCCGGCCCGCATTGTTCGCAGCTTAACTTTCCAAAGTGCTCGACGTCTCGATTCCACGGCCACAGTATTGTTGCCACTCCCCGCCCTGCCTCCTCCCTCGGGCGTCCACAGCTGCCCTCCATTTGATCCCGGTGCTCAACCCTCCACTACTGACTGGCCCGCAGCTTCTCGCGGAGGAACTGCGGCCACGTGCCGGACCCGCGAAAACCGGGATCACCCTCAGTCCTCATGGCTCGGCTGGGGCGAGGGGCGTCAGAGACCGTACCGCAGAAGTAGCGGAACCAGGAGGCCGAGGAAGGTGAAGGGACTGCCGGACCGGGGGGCGGAGTTGTGGCCCACGCTCCGCAACATCGGGGCGTCGGGGTCATCTGCGGGAGAGAAAAAGAAAGGGGATAACGGTAAGGATGTGGAGTCTTGTGAGCAAAAAAGTGTGCTTTTGTGAGCGACTGGCATTAAAGTTGTGAGCGTGCGATCTAGCTGGCGCATAAATTAATCTGCTCCGGAGCCATCCTTCCTGAGCGAAGACAAAAATGTGTGAGCCGGAGGCTAAAGAAACTGTGAGCTTGCTCACACTAACTCGGCTTAGAGGGAACGCTGGGCTAATCATTATGGGGGAGACTCTTCCGAGGCATTTGCGGCAGGAAGGATACAATCAGCACGCAATACAACCCACAATTTCCTCTTCCCGACCGCACCAGCCCCCTTCCCCATGGCTTTCCCCCAAACTCATGATCACCGCAGGGACCTACCTGACAGAAGTCTCCCCTTCTGGGTAGGAGCGCGGCCGGGTGGCATCCAAGCTAGAAGTGAATGGAGACACACGGTGAAGGCCAGACCCGCAAAGCCGTTGGGTAGGGCGGGGTATAAGTCGCAAAAATAAATAAATAAATAAATAAAAGCCCTCAGTGCACCCCCCCTCCCATTTTCACTTTCGTATCTTTAACCCCCGCATTTAGATGTCTCCCACAAGCTTGCTGTGCGGATTCCCGGCCCCTTTTTGGCATGGGGAACGACACTCTTGGCCTACCTCGCAGGGCTGTTGGGAGGACTGCCAAAAGTACGCACGCAGACCAGGTCAAGCGTTATTGCGACTAGTAAACGAAGACTACGCTGTTTTAGTTGCCACGGCAAGGGCCTGTGTGAAACGTCTCCTCGCCCAAATTCAGTCTAACCACAAGAAGGATGACGGATGCCCTTTCTGGTTAGGGACAGCGTCCCGACTGTCCAAGGTGCCCTTTCCTTCCCTCTGGTGTGTCTCAGACCATGCGCCTGCCAAATTTCAGCTTCCTGGATGGTCCAGAAGCACCTTTGCCATACGGAAAGGTTGAGCCCCACCCATGCTATTATTTATTCGACTTATTGATCGCCCCATCCCAACTTGCGCCAGGCTGTGGGTGGCTTACAATATGGCATTAAGCCTTAGATACAATATAAAAACATCAGACATCATAAAATCGGTAGCACTGAACTAATTCAAAACAAATTCAAATTCAAGATGGTGTCAGTAGCGACTATGCAATTGAAGGGGGTTTTTTGGGGGGGGAGGGATGGGGGGGGTGCCAGCCAGTGTTCCCTCTAAGCTGAGTTAGTGTGAGCTAGCTCACAGAATTTTAGCCTTCAGCTCACAGATTTTTGCCTTAGCTCAGGGAGCATGGCTCCAGAGCAAGCTAATTTATGCAGTAGCCGAATCATTCGCTCACAACTTTAATGCCAGCAGCTCACAAAGTAGAAATTTTGCTCACAAGACTCCACAGCTTAGAGGGAACATTGGCTGCCATGTTGGAAAGCTGTCACTGTCCCTAATCAAAAGCCTGACGGGACACCTCTGCTTTGCAGGCCCTGCGGAGCTGCATGAGGTCCTGCACGGCTCTGACCATACTAGGCAGAGAGTTCCCCCAAGTCGGGGCCAGGACCAAAAAGGCCCTGCCCTGCTCAGGGACAGCTGGATCTCTTTGGGGCTTAGGGAATCACCATTAAGTTGTTATCTGCAGAGCGTAATGCTCTTCCAGGGATATAGCAGAGGAGATGGTCCTGCAGATATGTTGCGGGAGAGATGTGCAATTACACCAGTTTGGTGTAGTGGTTAAGTGCGAGGACTCTAATCTGGGAGAACCGGGTTGGATTCCCCACTCCTCCACTTGCAGCTGGCTGGATGACCTTGGGCAAGCCATAGTTCTGATAAGAGCTGTCCTTGAAAAAGAGCAGTTTCTGTCAAGAGCTCTCTCAGCCCCACCTACCTCACAGGGTGTCTGTTGTGGGGAGGGGAAGGGAAAGGAGTTTGTAAGCCACTCTGAGACTCCTTTGGGTAGTGAAGGGCGGCGTATAAATCCAATCTCTTCCTCTTCTTCCTCTATTCCGCCCCCCCAAGACTCATCTAGCAGTGAGACTGCCTTCAAACTCAGCTTAGTAGGGCTGTGGCTCAGGGGCAGAGCACCCACTTGGCATACTGAAGGTCCCAGGTCCAAACCCCCTGCCACGTCCACTGCAAAGGACCAGGTGATGTAAAAGACCTCCACCTGAGACCCCAGAGAGCCAGCCAATCCACTTGGAGACTGGAAGCACAGACTAGGGCAAGGAAACTGCACTGATTTTGTTACAAAAAGGCCAGCGGGAACTGGGCCGACTCAGACGTAGGCACAGAGAAGGGTCTATGCTCATGGGGGCTTCCTTCACCATGGGGGGGGGGACACACTGAATCTCCCATTTGGGAAAGAAATGCAAACGTGATAAGTTCTCGCTTCTTGGTAGTAATTTAGACAATTTTTGGCCTTTGTATATACCAAATTTCAGGGCTCTGGTTCGGCAGACAGGATCTGAACTCTCTTCACAGCGCCAGGAATGAGTAACATCGGGGGGGGGGGGCAGTGCTCCCTCTAAGCTGTGGAGTCTTGCGGGCAAAAATTCCACTTTGCGAGCTACTGGCATTAAAGCTGCGAGTGAGCAATTTTGTCAACTGCATAGATTAGTTTGCTCTGGAGCCCTCCTTCCTGAGCCAAGACAAAACTGTGTGAGCTGGAGGCTAAAAAGCTGTGAGCTAGCTCACACTAACTCAGATACAGAGGCACGATCGGGGGAGGCAGGGGCAGAGAGTGAGATGTTTAGATCTTTAGATCTCCTCCGGTTTAAGTTCCATAGAAATGGAGAGCTTTTCTATGGACGAACTCGACTGAACCTTCCCCCCTTCCCCACAAACAGAACGGCTTTTCCCTGCCCACTGCAAAGGTACTAACCTGAGTGGCCCTTAAAGGAGCCCCGCCCCCCTTCCTGGTCTTTAAAGCCAGGAGTCGCAGAAAGTGGGTGGGTGGGGTCGGCAGCTAGGGTACTTACTGTTTTTCCCGGCCACCACCACCTTCAGCTTCAGGCAGGTCTCTCCGTGGCGATGGATTGGCTTTGCTAGGAGGGAAACGGGGAAAAAAACCCACCAGGTTGGTTAGAGTGAATGGAGGAATGGCCGCTGTTCCAAATAGGGCAGGGGTCTCCAACACGGTGCCCATGACACCTTTCCCGGTTCCCACCAAGGGTTTTGCCTAGCAGGGCTTCTGATTGGGCGCTAGAGATTCTGCCTAGCAGGGCTTCTGATTGGCTGCTAGAGATTCTACAAAAAGTTGAATAAAACTGTGGGGGGATACATCTTATACATGGCTACTAGCCAGGATGGATAAACAGAACCTCTGTGTGCAGAGGCAGTATATCTGCCAATAGCAAGGACAGGGGGAAGGTGGTCAACGTTCTTGGCCTGCTTGTCAGCCTCTAGAGGCATTTGGTGGCCACTGCGGAAAACAGGAGGCAGGTCTACTTGGGTCAAATCTTGTGCTCTTGGCAAGAGCGTCAAGGCAGGTGAAACAGGTTGAGAGGGAAATAGGCACTCTGGACATGCACAGAGTTACCCTTTATGGCCGCAACACACTAAACCCCGATTGGGAAGTCCCAGCAGAGCTTTGAGGTAAGGACTGTCAGCAAGTTCGAAGTAGACGGTTCCTGATCCCAAATCCCAGGCATAAGGACTATTTATTCAGGACTGCATTTGTCTATCCTAAATAACCTGGAGCGGAACGTAATGAATCCAAAACCATTTTTTTTTGTCATTCGGTTACGTTCATGGATCGGCAGCTTTAAAGTTCGGAATCTTTTCCCCGCTATGTTAACACAGGGTGCAAAGATTTTAACCATAGCAGAGCATGGATTTCCAGCAGCCAATCTGGATCAATCCACACAAAAATGATTCTGTATCGATGTCCCTTCCTTCAAAATTCCCTCTCTCAGAATCCAACTGCTCTCCGAGTGCCATTAAACTCAGCTTGTTATCGTACCAAAATGCACCATTCGCATCAATATTAGAAGGCCAGAGGGCTGAGCTGGGTTCCAATCCAACCTCTACCTGTGGCCAGCTGCTCTCGGCCTCAGTTTCCCACGTCTGTAAAATGGGTTCATCCCCCTCTCATCGAGACAATATATTGACAACAAGGAACAAAACAGCAGCTTCCGTTCCAGGGATACTTACAGATGTAATAGTACTCATGACCTTCCCGAAACTCTTTGCCCAGGGTGAAGGGGGTGAACCGCTGGAATTTCTCGGAGAACCGTTCTGGCCCGTGCAGGGCGTCCGGCCGGTCGCACTCCCAGCGGATCTGGTCCTTGGAGCGCGGCTTGCACGTTTCGTACTCCTCCTGCTCCACCAGGTACAAAGTGTAGCGCTCCATGGAGTGCAGGGGGGCGCTGCTGTCCTCATAATGTGGGCAGATGATATCCAGGTAATCGTTCAGGTGTACCTGTACGGTGTAGTCATCCCACAGAAACCTGCAACGGAAGGAAGGGATTGTCATCATTAGCGCTAATAACCGCCCATCAAACCGCTTCCTTGTCCGGTTGCAAATCCTCACGACAATCCTGTAAGGTCAGTCGCTTGTTTATATATTTATTCCCAGGACACTGATGAGGTCAAATGGCTGATTCGAACCCAGGTCTTCTCGGTTCTTTAGCAGCTAGCTACGCTCCTGGCAACCTAGCAGTTCGAAAGCAAGACATTGCAAGTAGATAAATAGGTACCACTTCAGTGGGAAGGTAACAGCGTTCCGTGCGCCTTGGTGTTCAGTCATGCCGGCCACATGACCACAGAAACGTCTTCGGACAGCGCTGGCTCTTCGGCTTGGAAACGGAGATGAGCACCACATCCCTAGAGTCGGACTCAACTGGCTTTCGAGCAAGGGGACCTTTAACTTTTTACACTAGTGCTCTGCCCTGACTAGTTTGACTAGTTTGATCCTGATAGAGCTCAGAAGCTAAGCAGGGTCAGCCCTGGTCAGTATTTGGATGGGAGACCAATGCTCCCTCTACGTCGTGGAGTCCTGTGAGCAAATATCCTACCTTGTGAGCGACTGGCATTAAAGTGGTGAGCGAGCGATTGGGCTGCTGTAAAAAACCAGTTTGCTCTGGAGCCCTCCTTCCCGAGCAAAGGCAAAAATGCGTGAGCCGGAGGCTAAAAACCTGTGAGCTGGCTCACACTGACGCAGCTTAGAGGGAACACTTGAGACCACCAAGGAAGACCAGGGTCGTGACGCAGAGGCAGGCAACGACAGACCCCCTCTGAACGTCTCTTGCCTTGGAAACCCTACGGGGTCGCCGTAAGTCTGTTGCGACTTGATGGTCCTTTCTGTCACCACCAGCACGTTAGCGCTTTAGCTAAAGAAGGCATCCTTCCATGCTAGAAAGAAAGGCCATTATGAATACCTTCTCTTTACTTTTGCATTATAGGAAAACACTAGGCCTCAGCTGAATCAGCATCTTGAGCCCCATCGCGGCCCACCAGATCCCGCTGAGAAGCCCCAAAGCAGTGCACAAAAGCAATAACCCATCCCCATAATTGCCCCCCATGCAACTGCCTTTGGAGATACACTGCCTCCAAGAAGAAGAGAGAAGAGATTGGATTTATACCCTGTCCTTCCCTACCCGAAGGAGTCCCAGAGCAGCTTACAATCTCCTTCCCCTCCCCACAACAGACACCCTGTGAGGGAGGTGGGGCTGAGAGAGCTCTCTCGAGAACTGCTCATGAGAGAACTTGTGACTGGCCCAAGGTCACACCAGCAGCTGCATGTGGAGGACTGGGGAATCAAACCCGGTTCTCCCAGACTAGAGCCTGCACTCCTAACCACTACACCAAACCTGCAGGTTCCACTTAGCAGTCAAGGCTAAGAGCACTGGAGAGCCAGCACGGTGTGGAGGTTAATAGTGTCGGACCAGTATCTGGAAGAACCAGGTTCAAATCCCCACTTGGGCCCCGGAAGCTCGTGGGGTGAGTGACCCAGGGCCAGTTACGTCCTCTCAGCCTAACCTACCTCACAGGGCTGTCGTGAGGATAAAACAGGAGAGGAGAAGGATATAAACCTCTTTGGGGTGCGAGGCAGGATATAAGCAAACAAACACAAATTAAATAAAACCTCTCTGTGAAATTGGCTTAATCGCCAGTCAAAATATCGGGGGCAGGGCGGGATTTAAACTTTTTAAGGCTTGTTGTGACTCCGGGCCCCCATCGATCAGCCGCTTCTCTTGCCAGCTCCAAACAGCAGCCCCCCAGACACGCGCTCCAGTTGATTAACCGTGGGAGCCGATCCAAAGCGGCACCCTCCTCGGCCCACTGAAGTCAGCGGGTTTAGGAAGGGTGTAACTCAACTCAGGAGCGCCCTGCATTCCCTGCCAGTCGAACGGATTCGAGTTTCTGTTCCCACCTGGCTTAGATAGACCCAGATTTTCTGCCCCGGTAGCAGAGCCGGTAGCAGAGCCGGCGCTCCAAAAACACCCCTTTGGGGTAGCCACTTCCCAAGCTCCGGAGCAGGGCAGGGAAGTTTCTGCTGACATTCCCCACACTGGGAGAGGGTGGTTATTAAGGATTAGCCGCGCCATCTGGGAAACGGCTCCACCCGGGGCCCTTGGAATTGTGGGAAGGCCTGGGAATGGAGCGCCGCGCCGGAGCACTCCCCAAACCGGTTTGGCAGTCGGGGGGAGGGTGACAGCTCTCTGGCAGGAGGCGAAGACAGGAAGAAAAGAAAGAAACCTTTTCGCAGACTCAGGAGCAGAGATACCACTGGCCTGTCTCCCCCCCCTCGCCCCTGGGCACCCCCACGGGGCTCCTGACCCAGTCTTCAAAGGCCTCCCTCAGACGGGGATCTTTAAAAAGGAATCTTTAAACCCCTGGCTGACTTTAAAAGCGATACAATCTGTCGGAGCCTGAAGCCAAAGTTTGTTTTGAGACAGAGGCCCTCAAAGACACCTATCTTTTGGGGGGAGGGGGGGATTCAAAAATGGTTCTCGTGAAATCAAGGACCTATCAAAAGCGTTATTGACTTTATTTACACCCCAGCTTCTTCCCCAACGGGAACCCAAAGCGGCTTACATAGTTCTCGCCTCCATGTTACCCTCACAACCACCCTGTGAGGTAGCCAGGTTGCTGTAGTGGTCAAGTGTGCGGACTCTAATCTGGGAGAACCCGGTTTGATTCCCCACTCTTCCACTTGCAGCTGCTGGATGACCTTGGGTCAGTCACAAGCTCTGGCACAGCTGTCCTTGAAAAAGAGCAGTTGCTGTCAGAGCTCTCTCAGCCCCACCGACCTCACAGGGTGTCTGTTGTGGGGAGGGGAAGGAGTTTGTAAGCTGCTCTGAGACTCCTTTGGGTAGTGAAGGGCGGGGTAGAAATCCAATCTCCTCTTCTTTTTCTTTTACCTCACAGAGTGTCTGTTGTGGGGAGGGGAAGGAGTTTGTAAGCTGCTCTGAGACTCCTTTGGGTAGTGAAGGGCGGGGTAGAAATCCAATCTCCTCTTCTTTTTCTTTTACCTCACAGAGTGTCTGTTGTGGGGAGGGGAAGGAGTTTGTAAGCTGCTCTGAGACTCCTTTGGGTAGTGAAGGGCGGGGTATAAATCCAATCTCTTCTCTTCAGTTTGGTGTAGTGGTTCTTCTCTTCTTCTAGGTTAGGCTGAGAGCACGCGTGACTGGCCCAACGTCACCCACCAACCTCCTGTTCATCATTCTCCTTGCCTCCACGTTATCCGCACAACAACCCTGTGTGGTAGGGCCTGGTTGAGAGTATATACGACTGGGCCAATATCACCCAACTTCCAAGGCAGAGCAGGGATTCGAATCTAGGACTCCCTTTTCCGATACTGTAACCACTACACCACACAGGCTGTTACGGAGACAAGGTGCTAACAAAGGGGATTTTGAGGTTCTGCCTGTACGTACACTTTGAAGACAGAGAGACCCCACTTGTCAGAGGCTCTGGCAATGCCATAAGAACAGAAGAGAAGCCATGTTGGATCAGGCCAGTGGCCCATCCAGTCCAACACTCAAACAGTGGGCAAAACCCAGGTGCCACCAGGAGGTCCACCGGCAGGTTCAGAACTGCAGAAGCCTCCCCCCCCCACCGTTGCCCCCCCAAGCACCAGGAAGATAGAGCATCACTGCTGCCCCAGACATGAGAACATAAGAGAAGCCATGTTGGATCAGGCCAATGTGGCCCATCCAGTCCAATGTTCTGTGTCACACAGTGGCCAAAACCCAGGTGCCACCAGGAGGTCCACCAGCGGGGCCAGAACTCCAGAAGCCCTCCCACTGTGGCCCCCCCAAACACCAAGAATAGAGAGCATCACTGCCCCAGAAATTCCTTGTGGCTAATAGCCACTGATGGACCTCTGTTCCATATAAAAACATAAGAGACGCCATCTTGGATCAGGCCAATGGCCCCTCCAGTCCGTGTCGCACAGTGGCCAAAACCCAGGTGCCATCAGGGGGTCCACCAGCAGGGCCAGAACTCCAGAAGCCCCTCCCACTGTGCCCCCCCCAGCACCAAGAACACAGAGCATCACTGTCCCCAGCCAGTGTTCCCTCTATACCTAACAGCCACTGACGGACCTCTGCTCTGTAGGTTTATCCAACCCCCTTCCGCCCAGGCCTTTCGTTGCAAAGGAACCAACCGATCGGGGCGGCCAGCTTGGCAGATGTAAGCTACCCACCCATGGCTGCACAGCTGTTCTTGCTTCTCTGGGCCAATACTGCCACATCTGGCCCACACTTCTGCTGCTTGAACTCTGGCTGACCACGGCAACCGCTGCCTGCCCAGGGGGGGAAAGCCACACGCGCCCCCCCCCAATCCTGCAATGATGTCAGGGTCGGCCTGGAGCACGCTAGGAGGGGGAAGCGTGGTCGGACGCTGCTTCCCGCTCGAAGCACCTTCCCCCTGGGCCGAACACTTATTTTCCCAAAAAACCCTCAACAACATGTCTGTCCAGGGGGAAAAAAAAAGAAAGTTTCCTGTCCTCCGTGGCCAGGCGCCTTCCTCTTGCAGCTCGCCCGGCCCTGCCAGGAAGGAAGAGGCCCACGGCCAAAGGGGAAAATGACCCTGGGAAAAAGGAGAGCCGGCGGGCCACAGACACCTCTCTCTCTCTCTCCCCCCTCCACTTTCCAGCTTGGCCTTGCCAAAATCGACCCCCTGGCTCCTGGGCCGTTGCTGAACTTCTCACACCCCCTTGGCAGCGCCAACGTGCCAATTTAGTACTGCCCAGAAGAGTAAAGTTGACAAACAGGGAGGTTGGCAGTCCAAGGGGGAGGGGGAGGGGATGTCTAGGAAGGAACCGCTGTCGGGTTTTCCCCTCCCACCCCGCCACAGTCTACCCCATCCCAGCCGAGGTTTCTGCCGGCTCCCACTCAAATGATCTCGAAATCTTCCCCAGGATTTAGCCAGTGCCAAGGGTTCCTGCGGCATAAACCCGGCGTTGGCTCTCCGTACCATGCTAGAGCGGAGCCTGAAACATATGAAGGTGAGTGTTTCTGGGCATATGCAGAGCACCTTTCTACTTGTCTATCATATTTTATCCAGCCTCTCTCTCAGAAGAAGAGATTGGATTTATACCCTGCCCTTCACTACCCAAAGGAGTCTCAGAGAGGCTTACAATCTCCTTTTCCTTCCCCTCCCCACAACAGACACCATCTAAGGTAGGGGGGCTGAGAGAGCTCTCTGGAGAGAACAGCTCTGAGAGAACTTGTGAGTGACCCAAGGTCACACCAGCAGCTGCATGTGGAGGAGTGGGGAATCAAACCCGGTTCTCCTAGATTAGAGTCCATACTCCTAACCACTACACCAAAGTGGCTCAGGGTGGTGGTACGTGGTTATCTTCCCCCCCCCTTTATCTCACAACAACCCTGTGAGGTATGTTAGGCTGACTGGTCCAACATGACTCAGTGAGTTTCACAGCAGAGTGGGGATTTGAATCCAGGCCTCCCAGACCCTGTTGGAAGACTCTAACCACTAGGCGACACTGCCTCCCTCCCCATTACACAGCTGCAGTGTAGCCCCATTCCCAAGTTACACTGAACATAGGTACAATCCAGGTACAGCAATTTCCCATTAAATACAGGTTGAGGGATTCTGATGCGACATCCAAGACACATGCAGCCGAAATGTGGGATTTAAACCCCACATCTCTCCAGGTCCTGATCTCCAATTCCATTTGTCAAGCGAACGTGCAGGGGCCCTTTTCTTACAAACCGATGCGCGCGCATCGGCCGTTCGCGGGCTCATGCTCACACACCAAGAGGGCCACAGTCCCTGTGCTTCCAGGATCCCCAGAAGGACCTCTACATCAGCAGTCCTGGGCAGGCGTTTCCACCCCGACCGGAGCCCGGGGAACCTCCCCGCCCCAGAAGTGAGAGGCCACATTCAGCCCGCCCAAGAGGAGAGCAGAGCAGACCAAACGCCAGGGGGATGGGCCCAACACAAGCCTGGGAAGCAGCGGTGGGGGGGAGGGACGCCACCTGGAAGAGGGCACGCCAGAGTCCCCGGCCTTGGGGTTTCCACAACAGGACACAGCTGGCTGCGCTTCTGAGACAACTGAATGAACAAAGGGCCCGGCCCTCCCCCTCCCGACACACACACCTTGCTTTTCAGCTTGAAAACAATCCTCTTGCCTGGAGATTAACTCTCCAGTCCCCGGGAACCACTTGCCTGCCTGTTGTCTGGCCCGGCTAGCTCTAGGTTGGCTGGTTGGCTTTCCTGCCCCTTAAAAGGCGCCGCACAGGAAGACGTCCAACAGGCGAGGCTTCTTCAGCCTGCAGAACGCACCTGTTGGATTTCAGTCTGCTCGGCAGCTGATTGCAGAAGGGCACCCCCGCTTCCCAAAAATCGGCAAGAAGGGTAGTGCCCAGGTGGGCTTGGGCCCTGAAATGGGGTTGGGGTGTTTTTTTTTTGAGACCAGTGTCCCCTCTAAGCTGAGTCAGTGTGAGCTAGCTCACAGTTTTTTAGCCTCCAGCTCACAGATTTTTGTCTTGGATCAGGAAGGAGGGCTCCAGAGCAAAGTAATTTACCCAGGAGCCAAATCGCTGACTCACAACTTTAATGCCAGTAGCTCACAAAACAGAATGTTTGCTCACAAGACTCTACAGCTTAGAGGGAGCGTTGGTTGAGACCACCCCAAACCTTGCAGCCTGGATTCAATGGCCCTCACTGCCTCCCATAGGCCACTGTTAACCCCCTCCTCCCTGGGGACAGGGTTGCCAATCTCCAGGTGGGACCTGGAAATCTCCCAGAACGACAACGGATCCCCCACGGATTTCGTTTCAGCCTCTCTCTCTCTCTCCTGTGCACAGCGTCAACTGCATTCTCCTTGGGGGCAGGGATCTGTCTCTTCCCTCCCCCTTTGCTCCTATGCCAAGCGCCATGTTACACCACTCACAACGCCACCCTGTCCCAATCCAAGAGGGTGCAAAAACTGGATTCCCGAGTCATCGAGAGCAAGCCTGCGAAACCTGCCCCCCCTCTCCTGCCAGGGCACCGTGCCCCCACAGGCTATGCCCACCTAACAGAGCAGGGAGGAAGAGGCGAAGCGGGGTCTCTCTGTTGGCACACACACACACCCCCCCCCGATTTCCCAGCAAAAGCCTCCTGCCTGATTCATGCCCTGGTCACGTAGCCCAGGGGTGGCCGGGTGCCAAGGCAAGGCCTACTGGGTGAATGTTTACACATTCCAGCCTGCAGCCCGGCCTCCGCGGGCACGGGGAGATAAAGGCAGGGGCACCCCCCCCCCGCCCGAGACAACCAACCAGAGAAGCCCTTCTCTTCCCCCCCCCGCCCCCAGTGCCAGGGCGCAGCCAAACACCACCGGGATGGCACTGCACGGGCATGGGAAAGGGGGGAGGAGGGCGGGGAGGCAGAGGAAAAGCCGACAAATGCGGCGAGAGAGGCGCGGAGGCGCCAGGATTAAAGGGCCAGCTCCCCGGCTCTCTCGCTCTTCGGGAAGGGGAGCCCCGGAGGGTCCCAGGCAATGCTCCCTCTAAGCTGTGGAGTCTCGTGAGCCAAAAATCCTACTTTGTGAGCTCCTGGCATTAAAGTGGTGAGCGAGCGATTTGGTTACTGCATAAATTAGTTTGCTCTGGAGCCCTCCTTCCTGAGTGGAGACAAAAATCTGTGAGCCGGAGGCTAAAAAACTGTGAGCTAGCTCACACTAACTCAGCTTAGAGGGGACACTGGTCCCAGGAGGTGCGTTGACAGCAGCCCCCCTCCTTCCAAAACACCCCCGGCCCCTCGGAAAAAGAGAAGCCCTGTTTCTCTGGCCCGAACGGGCACCACCGCGGGCTCCTCCAGGTGCCCATCTGTTCGCCAAGGGCTGGGGGGTG